GCATCGGGCTCCCTGCTCCACAGGAAGCCTGCTTCTCCCTCTCCTACTCCCCCTGCTTGTGTTCCCTCTCTCGCTGTGTCTCTCTCTTTCAAATAAATAAATAAAATCTTTAAAAAAAAAAAACTAATGATGTAATGTATGGTGATTAACATAACAATAAAAAATTTAAAATACAACAACAACAACAATAACAACAAAAATAAAAATAGAGCTACCCTATGACCCAGCAATTGCACTACTAGGTATTTACCCTGAAGATACAGATGTAGTGAAAAGAAGGGGCACATACACCCCAATGTTCATAGCAGCAATGTCCACAATAGCCAAACTGTGGAAGGAGCCGAGATGTACTTCAACAGATGAATGGATAAAGACGTGGTTCATATATACAATGGAATATTACTCAGCCATCAGAAAGGATGAATACCTACCATTTGCATCCACAGGGATGGAACTGGAGGGGATTATGCTGAGTGAAATAAGTCAAGCAGAGAAAGACAATTATCATACAGTTTTACTCATGTGGAATATAAGGAATAGCTCTGAGAACCAAAAGGGAAGGGAGGGAAAACTGAAGGGGAAGGTATCAGAGAGGGAGACAAACCATGACAGACTCTGGACCCCGAGAAACAAACTGAGGGTTACAGAAGGGAGGGGGTGGGGAGATGGGGTAATTGGGTGATGGGTATTAAGGAGGGCACATGATCTGATGAGCACTGGGTGTTATATGCAACTAATGAATCGTTGAGCACTACATCAAAAACTAATGATGTACTATATGTTGGCTAATTGAACATGATAATTTAAAAAAAAAAGACAATGAGATACCACCTTACACCAGTTAGAATGGCCAAAATTAACATGACAGGAAAAAACAAATGTTCGCAAGGATGTGGAGAAAGGGGAACCCTCCTACACTGTTGGTGGGAATGCAAGCTGGTACAGCCATTCTGGAAAACAGTAGGAGGTTCCTCAAGACATTAAAAATAGAGCTACTTATGACCCAGCAATTGCACTACTGACTATTTACCCCAAAGATACAGATGTAGTGAAAAGAAGGGGCACCTGCACCCCAATGTTCATAGCAGCAATGTCCACAATAGCCAAACTGTGGAAGGAGCCGAGATGTCCTTCAAAAGATGAATGGATAAAGAAGATGTGGTCCATATATACTATGGAATACTACTCAGCCATCAGAAAGGATGAATACCTACCATTTGCATCCACGGGGATGGAACTGGAGGGGGTTATGCTAAGTTCAAGTCAAGCAGAGAAAGACAATATAAGGAATAGCACAGAAGACCGTAGCGGAAGGGAGGGAAAACTGGGAAGAAATCAGAGGGAGACAAACCATAAGAGATTCTGGACTCCAGGAAACAAATTGAGGGTTTCAGAAGGGAGGGGAGTGGGGGATGGGGGAAATGGGTGATGGGCATTAAGGACCGAGCACTGGGTGTAATTCGCAACTAATGAATCACTGAACATATTACAATCTGATGATGTTACTATACATTGGCTAATTGAATTTAAATAAAAAAGAAAGCAAATGTGAACATCCAGCAATGTTCTAATGTGAAAGACTTCCAACGATGCAATATGTACAAAGATCAATATTCTCACTACCCTGTTTATTTTGGGAAATAGTTATTTTTCACAAAACAATTTTTTTGTCAACATGCAATGGTTTATTAATATCATTCAAATGAGCTCATGAAAAAAGTTTAAAACCTCTTTTATTCCTAGTATGGTAAATATTGATACCACTCAGTGCAGGAAAAGAGGGGTTAGGACAAAGTCACAAATCCCTGGGCCCGTCTCTCAGCGTCCCCGCGCGAGGGCGGTGTCTTGGGCGGGAAAGCCCAGTGTTAGGGAGTCCGCATCTCCCCTGGTTTCACTTCTCCCTCTCACAACCTGTCAGGTCCTCCTGCCTGGATCCTCACGACGCGACCCCAGTTCGCACTCCCATTGCGTGTCGGGGTTCCAGAGAAGCCAATCAGCGTTCCGGGTGTTTTCACCGGCCGCGGGGCGACTCAGCTTCTCTCCGGAACAGGTGGTTGCCAGTCATGCGTCCCCCAACCCTCCTCCTGCTGCTGCTGTCCGGGGCCCTGGCCGTGACCGAGACCTGGGCGGGTGAGAGCGGGAGAAACCGCCTCAGCGTGGGAGGCGGGAGGGGGCTGCCGGACCCAAGCGCTGCTCCGCTCCGCCGCCTGGCACTCGGAGCCCTCACCTCCGCCCCACCCACACCTTGGTCCCGACTCTTCTCCGACCCACTGCCCCTTTTCCGTTGCGCGAACCCCTCGCCCCCTGCCCTCCCGGCCGCCTCCCCCTGGGCCCCGGCCCCGCGCCGGGAGGAGGGTCGCGCGGGGTCTCAGCCCCTCCGCGCCCGCAGGCTCCCACTCCATGAGGTATTTGTTCACTGTCGTGTCCCGGCCCGGCCGCGGGGAGCCCCGGTACGTGGAAGTCTGCTACGTGGACGACGTGCAGTTCGCGCGGTTCGACAGCGACGCGGCGAGTCGGAGGATGGAGCCGCGGGCGCGGTGGGTGGAGCAGGAGCGGCCGGAGTACTGGGCCCAGCAGACGCGGGACTCCAGGACGTGCACACAGACTCTCCGAGGGAATCTGAACGAAGCGCGCGGCTACTACAACCAGAGCGAGGTAGGTGAGCGACGCGGGCAGGGGACAGATCACGATCCCCATCCCCCCGGACGGCCAGGGTCGCCCCAAGTCTCCGTGTCCGAGCGACACCCCGAGGCTGCGGGACACCGCCGTCCCCCGAACGGGGAAGAACCCTTGGGGAGTCTACTCGGTTTGGTTTTCAGTTTAGGCTTTAATGACGATAGGTCGTGGTGGGCCGGGGCCAGGGTCTCATACCTTCCAGAGAATGATAGGGGGCGACGTGGGCCTGATGGGCGCTTCCTGCTTGGGTACCTTCGTGATGCCTACGACGGCGCGGATTACATCGCCCTGAACGAGGACCTGCGCTCCTGGACCGCGGCGGGCACGGCGGCGCAGATCACCCGGCGCAGGTGGGAGGCGGCCGGTGTGGCAGAGCGCTCCAGGAACTATCTGGAGGGCACCTGCGTGGAGTGGCTCGGCAGGTACCTGGAGAACGGGAAGGAGACGCTGCAGCGCGCAGGTACCAGGGGCCGCGGGGCCTCCCGGATCTCCCCTCCGCTGGGGCTGGCTTCCCACCAGGAAGGGAAAATGGACTCCGTGTCAGAACACCGCCCCTCCCACGGGTGGGGAGACGGAGATCCGCCCGGGTGTTCCTGTTCCTACTAGAGAGGGCCTCACCCAGAGGGCCGCTTCTCGCTAAAGGACAATCCAGTCTCTCCCCAGAGGCAGGTGGAGACCATCCCTGAACTAGTCCATCAGCGGTCCCTCCATCCTGGCAATCACCTTGTAAACCATGACTTTCCCTCTCAAGGTCTTGTTCTCCATCTGAGAACATCCTTGGAGATCTGACTCCCGGTTTTCTGAGTCACTGACACTCCACCGCAGTCAGGACCATTAGTGTGTTCCCCACTCTAGACCTGCACTCTCCTGTCCTGGGATCTCTCGCTGCTTCTAAAACATTACTCCAGATCCCTGAGTCTAGGCTGTTGTCAGGGTTTTGTGCTTTTCCCTTCTAAACCATTTGTCCTTTCCATCCTCAGGATGGTCACGAGTGCTGCTTATAGTGACCCATGAAGGTAACCCAAAGTGTGGACTTTCTGATTCTTCTTCCTCAGAACCTCCCAACACACACGTGACCCACCACCCCATCTCTGACCATGATGTCACCCTGAGGTGCTGGGCTTCTACCCTGCAGAGATCACCCTAACGTGGCAGCGTGATGGGGAGGACCTGATCCAAGACACAGAACTTGTGGAGACCAGGCCTGCAGGAGATGGGACCTTCCAGAAGTGGGAGGCTGTGGTGGTGCCTCCTGGACAGGAGCAGAGATACACGTGCCATGTGCAGTATGAGGGGCTGCCCGAGCCCATCACCTTGAGATGGCATAAGGAGGGGTTTGGGGTGGAGCCTCTTTGCAGAGAAAGTAGCTCTTCGGCAAAACATCTGCGAGGTTATGACTCAAGCCTGAGGTCTGAGCCCCTCACCTTCCCCCTTCCTAGAGCTGCCACCTGAGCCCACCATCCCCATCATGGGCACCATTGCTGGCCTGGTTCTCCTTGTGGTCACTGGAGCTGTGGTGGTGGGAGCTTTGATGTGGAGGAAGAAGCACTAAGGGAAGGGAGTGGGAGGGGAATTTGAGTTTTCTCATCCCACTGAGAGGTTTCAAGCCCCAGGTAGACGTTTGTCCTGCCTTGTTAATGAGAAGTACCATCCACATACCTGTGCTTGCCTACTCTGGAGCCAACTGCTAACATTAACTCTTTAGTAGACTTGTGCAAATGAAGGACAAATTTTTTACCTTTATATTCTGTTGGTGGGGACCTGATCCCCAGCCGTTGAAGGTCAGGGGCAATTCCCTGATGTAGACAGACCTCCAGAAGACAGTTGGTCCAGTGCCCCTACATCCTTTCTTCGTGTTTTTCTGATACAGCCATGAGTCTTCAGTTAACAGTTCTGGAAACCTGATTTTGGTACAGGTCTAGGGTATTCCTCTGGATACCATGACCAGTCTTCTCCCTGGCCTCTGACATGATGTTTTCTTCCCACAGTGTTAAAGGAGGGAGCTACTCACAGCAGACTGAAAGTAAGTATGGAGGGAGTCATCCCTGAGACCCTGGGATAGTGTAGACAGGACCCCATGGGGAGCTCACCCACCCCATAGCTCCTCCTCTAGTCTCATCTCCGGTGGGCTCTGACCATGTCCTGTTTGTTCTACCCTAGGCAATGACAGTGTCCTGCGCTCTGATGTGTCTTTCATGGCTCCTAAATGTGAGACCCTGGAGGGCCTGGGTTATGAGGATTGTTTGAATGGGACAGTATAGCATTTAGTGGGCTGTGGAGATGTCAACATTTACATGATTGACTTGAATTTGTTCATGATTATTTTCTTTCACAGCGTGAACCAGTTGCCTTGTGGGGGACTGAGTGATGCAAGATTTGTTCACACTCCCACTTTTTTTTTAATCTATTTATTCGACAGAGTGAGAGAGTACTAGCAAAAGGAGCAGTAGAGGGAGAGGAAGAAGCAGGCTTCCCGCTGAGCAGGGAGCCTGACGCGTGGCTTGATCCCAGGACCCCGAGATCACGACCTGAGCCAAAGACAGACGCTTAACCCAGGTGCCCCACACTAATTCATAGAGTTATAAAGCAGTGTGTAATTTGAATTCACATTTGTCTGGAAAATATGACCCATAAGCCTACGTACAACTTTTCTGAATGGAGAACTGTTAATTGTTTCCTGTGCTGTGCGGGAGGGATGGTGTGGAATAGAGGCAATAGGGGTGGAGCAGGGAGACCAGCAATGGGGAGAAAAGTGGTAGCTGCCACGAACAGCTGTAGCCTGAGGCTCATCTAGAAGAGAGAGGTGCTCTATGCAGATCATTCATTCAACTGGTAATTGTCAGATACAGGAACATTATTTTAGCATCTAGGACACCTCAAGTGAAAAACAGGCAAAATTTGCCTACCTTGTGGGGCATATGTTCTGGAGTGAGGGCAGACTGTATGCTAGTAACTAAGGGAAGTGTGTGTGTTAGAGGTTGGGGAGCACCTATGGAAAGTGGTCCAGAGAGGTACCTATGCTGGGAAGGGGACGATGGCTACTTCACTACAGCAATCAGAGGGAGCCTCACCGAGGTGCCTTTGAGAGGTTTGAAGGTTATGAAGGAATTGCATAAGAGGAGGTCTGGGGGGAGCTCTTTCCAGGCAGGGAACCCCCAGTGCACACGCACTAGGACAGGAGCGTACCCTGTGTTCACGGAAGGGCGAGGAGGCCACTGGGGCTGGAGCAGAGAGCAGCTGAAATGACATCAGATGTCCAAGCCTTAGGATATTAGAACAGTTTGAGTTTTCTCTGAGTGACATGTGGAGTTACAAGGTGGTTTTAAACAGACGATCCACCCGGTACCACCTCTCCTTAGAAGCATCTGTTTGTAGCTGTGCAGAGAATCAAGCGGTGCAGGGTGAGTGACCAGTAGAGAATCTGTAGGAAACCAGTGCAGTGTCCCAGGAGGGGGATGTGGGCTGTACATCTGGGGTTGAGGAAGGAAGATAGTAGGAAGTGATTGGGTTCTGGATATATTTAAAGATGGACTCTGCAGCATTTCCTAATGGATTAATTCTAGGGAGAGAGAATGAAGAATCAGGGAAGGCATCCAACATTTCAGACTGCAAGCAGAAATGTGAGTGCCTTCAGTGGAAATGGGGAAGTGTCTGGAAGTAGCATATTTGAGTAAGCAGCATCACAAGCATCCAATTTAGGAAATGATTAATCTGAGATGTCTACTAGAAATACAAGTGAGGAGCACCTGGGTGGCTCAGTTGGTTAAGCATCCGACTCTTGATTTTGGCTCAGGTCATGATCTTGGAGTCATAGCATCAAGCCCTGCATCAGACACCCCACCCCCCACCCCACTGCTCAGCAGGGAGTCACTTAGGATTCTCTCTCTCCATCTCCATCTGCCCCTCCACCCTCTCTAAAATAAATAAATAAATCTTAAAAAAAGAAAAAAAAAGAAACGCAGGTGAGGTTGGCAGGTGGATACAGAGTTCAGGGTAAGAGAAACATCTGGGTTGGAGAAATAGATGTGGGAGGTCATGCCATATAAACCAGGTTTAAAGCCTTTACTAGAGATGAAGAGATGAGGTCCCTAAGGGGGTGAGGGCCATAGAAGAGAAAGGAACAGGACCAAACCCTGGACTCCTCAAGGCTAAGCAAGCTGATCAGAGCACACACCCAGAGTGCACTGCATAGTTTGGTTCTGCACCTAGAAAACACAAAGACCAGGGAGGCCCACCCTTCAGTGTGCACAGAAAATTCCTGGACTATGAACATCTAGACAGTCTGGAGTAGAGCATGAGATTCTGGGTTGATAACAAGGTTGGTGCTGATGCTGCTGGTCTTCGGATCCCACACTGAGTAGCAAGCCCATGAAGCAGGATCCCCACATGGCCGTGCATCAGCCTCTCCTGTAGGGATTATTAAGTAAGTGATTCCTGGGCTCACGCCCAACATTCTAAGCTGGTGGGTCTGGGAAGAGGCCTGAGTATTTGGTAACAAAGCCACAAGCCATCATGGGATTCCACAGATAGGGAAGCACTGAAGCCATTGATGAGAGCCCTCATTGTGGGACAGGGTCTTACAGACACATTTAAATAGTTTTTTTGTGGGGTGCCTGGGTGGCTCAGTCGTTAAGTGTCTGCCTTCAGCTCAGGTCATGATCCCAGTGTCCTGGGATCAAGCCCCGCATCGGGCTCCCTGCTCGGTGAGAAGCCTGCTACTCCCTCTCCCACTCCCCCTGCTTATGTTCCCTCTCTCCCTGTCTCTGTGTCAAAAAATAAAATCTTAAAAAATAAATAAATAGTTTGTAGGAAGAAAAATGCAAGACATGCTGGGAGAAACATATTTTCTCTCCCATGGGGTAAAACCAGATGAAAGATTTAGGAAGTGATTATCAGCTCAACATAAAAACTCTCATTGCTGGGGCGCCTGGGTGGCTCAGTCGTTAAGCGTCTGCCTTCGGCTCAGGTCATGATCTCCAGGTCCTGGGATCGAGCCCCGCATCGGGCTCCCTGC